TTTTTTTTTGAAGAGATTTTCACCATAGGGCGTGTGCGCTCGCCAGACACACAGAGACATAGAGACAGAAAGCGAGAAATCACCCCCCCAGGGGGGATGGTCACGCCGCAGTCCCTTCTCCTCCATTCTCCTCTCGGGATCTTGGGCACGCACACGCGCCCGGCGTGAGTTTTAAGCCACCGGGTTCGGGACGCGAACCGCGGTTGACTACGTGGGAGTCCAGCGACATAGCCATTACGCTAACTGCTGGTTCCCAAAAATGACTCGTTTTTTAAGGAAAAACTTATGTTTTTAAGGATGAAAACTGGAAGTATTTACACCAAAATATTAACCACGGCTGCTTCTCAGCAGTGAGATCAGGAGAGATTTTGTTTTCTTCATGGATCTGCATTTCCCAAAATTTCCCCAATTTTCTATCTTTCTATAATTAGGAAAAGTGAATATCTTAGAAAACAAGTGTTTACTGACTAGACGGGTAAATGAATACATGTGTAAGCAAGTGAGCCCGGGAATACGCAACCCCACGATCGCAGCCACTCACTGTCGCGTACACGTGCACACCCCGTTCTCTCGTTTGCCCTGGCACGGGGTCATAGGCCCACGTGCCCATGTGTCGGTGGGCAGTCTAAATTACAGAAAAGCATGTTCTCATACACATGTGTGCAGACAGGATCGCATCACGAGCCCAGTAGTCCGGCTGTTAGCGTGTGCACACACAGTCTCACACAGATGCACGCTCAGCCCAGACAGACACACTCAACACCTTTTCCACCTTCAGACAGGTGCAGGGACGCTCTGTCAGCAGCCACGTGTGACCCCGTAAATTTGGACTTCGAAACTTCCCGAGATCTTTCAAGCATGCCCTGCACTTTCTGTTCCAGGAATTTACAAGAAAGAAGATTTCCACCTCCTCCTCCAGGTTTACCAGATTACGGGGCCCCTGGAGACCTTTGTGAATAAGTTCAGAGATGATCACTGGGCGTTAGACGGACATGTAAGTCTGGCCAACTGACGTCCCCGTACCCTGCCCAGCCCTCGGTTCCCAGATGTCTGGCAGGAAGAGGAGGACAGAAAGACGTGGGAACTCCTAGGATCAGCAGGGAACTTGGAAGGAGGTTTTCTGTGGGGCCAGGACTCGGAACAAGGTGGCCGATATTTATAGAGGGCCGGGAGGCTCATTGTCCACAGGGCCACCACACTGAGGGAGGAGGGGTCAGTTCTGCTGTTCGAGTAGGACGCGAGGGCCTGGAGACAGCTGACGAGCAAACTGGGCGAGTGGAAGGCAGCGTGCCGCGCTGGGAGCCAGGAGAAGGCGCTGAGCCCTGCCTGGGACATCTGGAAAGTCTACTCATAGCCAAGGATGCAGACGGTGGGAAACCAGCACAGCTCGAGAGACCAGGACGGGAGGGAAGGCGCCCTTCTGTGACCCGTGGGGAAGACGATTAGCACCCCAGGGCATTCTCGGGCTGAAGCAGGGTCCCCAGGGAAGCCCCTCTGCCCAGCCCTTCCTATCACACAGAGAGTGGGTCGAGCACGGGGTCCTGCCACACCCTCGGCTCCCAGTCTCGCCTTGTTGGTTGGAGGAGGAAGGGCAGGAGGGAGTGAGGTCAGGCTGGCCTGCGCAGCAGTGGGGAGTCGCAGTGCATCCCCAAGGACAGGCCGAGCTGGGAGGACTGTGGCTGCAGGGCTTTGTGAACATGTAGGGGAACACAGGCTTCTCAGGCCTGGCCAGTCTGGCTGGATCTTACGGATCCTCTGGGCTGTCAAGGTTCCAGCTTCGGTAGTAGCTACTCCAGCAGCCGTCAGCTGTGCAGGACGGGAGAGAACGAGGGTCAGAACCGGGCGATGGTGCCAGGAGGCGGGCCAGAGACGAGAGAGGTCTAGCCGGCCAGGGGCAGCTAAGCCCTCGCCAGCCAAGGGGGCGTCCGTGGGAGGCCAGCCCACAGCATGCAGGCAGGCGGGCCCTGGACGGAGCACAGGGGAGCTCACACACGCAACATCGAAGCACACCCTCAGCCGGAGAGGCAGAGGCTGCACAGGAGTGTCTGTTACAAGAGCACTCTGGGGCGTGGTGGCAGAGGGCGCCCCGAAAGTACCGGCTCTGTGGTGAACCCTCATCGAATCTGAAGCCCTTGTAGCCACGGGCCTGTTTGCCTCGTCATGGTAACCTTGCTCACCTGCGCCTCAAGCCCGTGAAGTGTGCGCAGCGTTCCGTCCTGTGAACTCGCTTCATCCCCGCACGCCTGTGACGCCCTGTGCACTGTTACCCAGCGCACAAGTGAGAAACAGGCAGGGAGTGCTTGGGTCGGTGGAGAATAAAACCCCTAGGCCACCACGGCATGAAGGTTAAGGCACCTTGGTCCCATGGGGCCAACGGCACAGTTCAAGTCCCGGACCTGGTGGCCTGACAAATACCCGGGTGCATGTGCATGCCCAGATTCTGAGAGGAGAAGGGGGGAGAGGAGACTGTGGCATGGCCACCCCCCGACGGGGGAGGGATTTCTCACTTTCCCTCCCTCTCCCTGTCTCTCTACACTGAGCACACGTGCCCTGTAGCAAAACTAAAAAATAAGAAGAAGAGGGAACCAGCAGTTGGCGTAATGGCTATGTCGCTGGACTCCCACGTAGTCGACCGCGGTTCGTGTCCCGGACCCGGTGGCTTAAAACTCACGCCGGGCGCGTGTGCGTGCGTGCCCAAGATCCCGAGAGGAGAATGGAGGAGAAGGGATTGCGGCGTGACCATCCCCCCTGGGGGATGATTTCTCGCTTTCTGTCTCTATGTCTCTCTCTGTCTGTCTGGCGAGCGCACGCGCCCTACAGTGAAAATCTCTCCAAAAAAAACAAATAAGAAGAAGAATAAAAATAAATTTAAAAAAAGAAAGAAGGAAAGAGAAAAGAAAATCCCCTCCCTCCCTCCACCGGTGGCTGGGCCCTGCCCCTCCCCCAGCACGCCAGTTGTGTTCCCCTGGCCTGGGTGAGGACAGGTCGTGGAGCGTGTGTGTGTCGGAGCACAGGCTGGTGGGTGCCGCAGGCCTGTCTGGCAGCTCCTACCTGTGGGTGTGGCCGGCCAGAGCTGTGGTCCGTCCAGCCCACCTCCCAGCCTGCTCTCTGCACCCCACCCCTGCAGGTCTCCTCGGAGTCCTCTGGAGGAACCTTCGTCTACCAAGGCTCTGTCAAGGGCCAAGGCTTCGGACAGTTCGGATTTCAGAGACTTGGTAACTAACCGGTCCTGGGAGTGTGAGCTGTGGGAGGGAGGTGGCCTGCATGCTGGGCGGGGCTGTGACATTCCGGACTGGAGACAGGAGCGCTAAGATCCCGGACCAGGGACACCGCTGAGATTCTGAACACGCTATGGAAGATCCAAACACCTAATACTCGACTTGGCCAGTTTCACGCTCGGTCCCTGAGTTGGAAGTGCACAAGTTAAGGGGCCTCGGTCTCAGATACAGCCCTGGCAGCACCGCGTGGCCAGCCCTGCGGCCTGACCTCTGTCTCGAGCAGGGCCCCTTAGGTGTCCCAGTTGGGGACTCAGGCTTGGCTGCCTTTACGTGTGATGTCGCTTTCTCGTTAGCACGGTCCTGGAAGGTGGGCATTGTCCCCATTCCACAGACGAGAAAACCGCATGCAGGAGCCCGCCCTTCATACTCCTGCCATCCTTACCCGGCACTCCACGCCCGCAGGCCGTGAAGGCTGACCTGACGCAGGCGCGGGTGTCCCCCCTCACACCCTGCAGTGCGGGGAGATGCCCTGGTTTCCCAGAAGCAGTGTGGGGGTAGACAGGAGGCAGTCGGCCGCCGGGGTGCCACAGAGCCAGCCCTGTGCCCAGCCTCTGACGCCTCCCATCCCCAGGGTCAGCGTCTCTGTATAAAGCGGAAATCTGCCCCTGTCCTTCCTGCTCCCCAGCCTCAGTGCTGCCTCTTGAGCTGCAAGAACAAAGCCACCACCCTTGCACACAGCAGCCTCGGGCCCCTGGAGACACCTCCAGGCCCCACAGCCCCTTGCAGTGGCAGGGCCTCAGGCCATGGGGGCTCTCCCTTGGGCACTGCAGCCACCTCCCTGTCCCCCGGGGCAGACTGGGCCTGAGCTGCAGTCGGCTGTTCCTGGGCCAGGCTGGCTGGGAGTTGGGGCTGAGGAAGGGAGAGGAGCAGAGGCTTCAGCCTCGCCCTCCTGCTGCAGCCCCAGCAGCCTCCTCCCTCACCCCTGTGCACCCCCACAACCCAGCGGCCTCTGCCCACTGAGGCGGGGTAGGTCCAGGCCACAGCCGCGCCTGCCAGCAGCGTGCGGTGGGTAGGTGGCCGACGAGGACCACAGCTTCCTGCTATGCCTCTGTGACTCGAGTTTTGTGCTTTGGGACCTCACAGACCTCAGGCTGCTGGAGTCGGACCCCGAGGCCATCGGCCGCCCCGACTCCCCGTGGGCGCCGCCATCCTGGTGCCTTTCATCGCCCTCATCATCGCGGGCTTCGTGCTCTATCTCTACAAGCACAGGTACCGCCCACGTGACCAGCCCAGGCCTGTCCCCACCACACCCACCCAGAGCCCCAGGGCTCCGCAGAGCTGGAGCCCTGCAAAGGAAGAGCCTCCGGCTGCCTCCCCGCTCCCTGCAGCCCAGTCTCTGCCTCCCTTTACCCCGCCGCCCGCTCCCTCTCATTCCCAGGAGAAGACCCAAAGTTCCCTTCAATGGCTATGCCGGCCACGAGAACACGAACGTGCGAGCCACGTTTGAGAACCCGATGTACGACCGCAACATCCCGCCCACGGACATCATGGCCAGCGAGGCGGAGTTCACGGTCAGCACGGTGTGCACCGCCGTATAGCCGCTGGCGCCGCCGCCGCAGCCCCGCCTCCAGCAGCCGGTGAGCGGGCGAGGGCCGTGAGGGCCGGGCGGGCAGTACAGGAGGGCTGCGCAGGGGCCACCACTGCGTGGTGGGCACCCCGGGTGCCTGGCAGATCTACCACCGCCCCGGAGGTGGGTGCCGGGATGGTTCCCAGCCCGGGTCAGAAAACTGGACGCATATGAGTTAATACCTCGACCTAGATCCTGCGGCCCCAAACTCCTGGGTCAGAAGCCAGTCCCCAGGGGGCGCCAACTTCAGAGACTGTGGCTTAACCCCTGGGCCTGGTGAAAGGTCCGAGTGGGCTACCCAGGGCCTTCCCGAGACAGCACCAACCGGGGACGTGTGTTCATCATGCATGTTCACGTGTAGTCACGTATGTGCAAACCCTAAATGCATCTCTGTATGAACACACAGAGCCACCTGTGCATGCACTTCTGCATGGATACACTCAGGGGAGGCCCCTGTGGGTCTGCGTATATGTTGCATACACAGGGACAGCTACAGGTGACTTCAAAAGTTCATGGAAATGCCTATTAAAAAATAACTATTCAAAATATTTTGCACCAAAACAAACTCATATTTAATTCCACATCTTCAGAAAATGTTGAAGTCTCCTGAGCAGAGAGAGGCAGACTTAGGGAACTGACGCACAGCCGTGGGGTTCATGAGGCTCGAGCCTATGGGAAGGCTGGCAGGCTGGACATGCCAACGGGATTTGATGTCATCTCGAGGCCGAAGGCCACCTGGGACAGCATGCCTCTCTCTCTCGGGGCCTCAGTCTTCTCAAGGCTTTCAGCAGAGTGGATGGGCCCCACTCACTTTATGGAGAGTGATCTTACTCCAGGTCTGATTTAAATATTAATCATATCTAAAAGCAAATCTCCATAGCAATATCTAGCTGGTGTTGGACCCAACACCTGGGCACAAAAGCCTGAGCAAGCTGACTCAACACTGACCTCCTGTGGAGAGTAACCAGCGCAGCCCCAGCCTCTGGGCTCGGAGGGGAAGGCCCCGTTATGTGGCCAGGGGGCAGACACGCAGGCATCGACAGGCCCACTGGGAGGGCCTGGCGCCTCTCAAAGGCACCGCCTCGTCCTCGCTGTGTCCTTCCTCATGGAACCCTCTTCCTCTGGAACCTGGAGACTCGGGGAACTGCCCTGACAGGACATCCTGGTCGCACCCCTCTAAAAACTGCCTCCTCCTGTACATCCACTTTCCAGAAATAGGCATGTGCTCTTTTCAGACATCTCTTCCTGCCATAGAGCTCCTAGCCAGGGCAGGAGGGCTCTGGAGAGAAAAGGCCCAGGGCCAGAAGTGGGGCTTCCAGAAGGGCAAAGGCAGACCTGTCAGCTGGTCGTCGATCAGACCTGCAGCTAGTTAGAACTCTCCCTTCGCATCTGCTACTCACGGCAGCCCAGGTGATGGGAATTCCTGCACAGGTGCATACGGCTGCTTGAGAGGGTGCAGCTGTGTGAGCGAGGGCAGCCGCTGGCTGACGGGGGAGTGAGGAGCGTAACCAGGGCCATCGTGAAAGTCTCCATCTGCAGGCGTTGGTGGCCCATCCCTGACACCCTTCCTTCCCTTCCTCCAATCCACACAACCCTGGGAGGTTCAGAGCTTCGGCCAAGTTCAAAATCACACGGGGTAACGGCGTGGCAGCTCGCAACGCCGCTGCTTCTGCACGCCCCACGCTCCCTCTCCACTCTCCCACCACTGTGAACCCAGATTTCCCCTCTTGGTCATTTCTATTCCTTGAGTCGAAGCTGAACTTTGTAAATGTTAAGATACTTTAGACACAAGAAGATAAAGAATCCTATCGAACACAGTTCACTGCCAGAGTTTTCCCCACCTGCTCACAAGTCTCTGAAACAAACATGTAAGTAAAGGGGAGGAAGGATTCCAGTTGCCTCATTTTGATATGCTGAAATTGTTGCTGAGGTTTCAACTTTATGCTCAATCTTCACTTTTCCTACACTTTTTTTAACTCAAATTTTATCAATAGAAAGCAAAAAAGAAAAGAAAATCCCCTCTAAGACTGTGGCTCAGGCCGGAGCGGTGGTGGGTGGTGAGCTCGAGTCTCTGCCGAGGTCCCGGAGCTTGTCAGGGACAGGGACACCCCTGCCCTCCTGCCCACCCGGGCTCTGCGGGGACTTGGGTTTCAGCGTGCGCAGCGTGCACAGCGCACACTCTGGGCCATCAGGGGTGGTGACCTCAGGTTTAGACATCCTCGGTTGCCCTCATGCCAGCAGCCATGGCCTCCAAAGCTGCCACCCCCAGCAGGGCCTGTCCAGCCACCCTCCCCACCCCACCCCTGGAGATGGAGCACAGAGAACGCATCACCTGGCCCAGAGGAGGGGACACAACATCCACCTGAGCACACAGTGAATGATTAGGGTCAAGTTCAAGTGACGCCCCACGAGAGCAGCTGAAGTTAAGGCTATTGGGCAGGGGAGAAACTGCGGCCCGTGGCACCGGGATGGCCAGGAGCAGGGCAGCCCTGTGCGCTTTTATGGGCCCCTTCTGCCATCAAAGAAAAAAAATGGAAAATGATGCTTCATGGGGCCAGCAGGTGGTTAATGGCTAAGGTGCTGGACTCCCACGGGGCCGACCGCTGTTCGCATGTCAGACCCAACACCTTGAAAGTCATTCCAGGTGTGTGTGCGTGCGCGAAATCCCAAGAGGAGAAGGGATTGCAGCGTGGCCATCTCCCGTGGGGATGATTTCCCCAGCAGGGCCTGTCCAGCCACCCTCCCCACCCCACCCCTGGAGATGGAGCACAGAGAACGCATCACCTGGCCCAGAGGAGGGGACACAACATCCACCTGAGCACACAGTGAATGATTAGGGTCAAGTTCAAGTGACGCCCCACGAGAGCAGCTGAAGTTAAGGCTATTGGGCAGGGGAGAAACTGCGGCCCGTGGCACCGGGATGGCCAGGAGCAGGGCAGCCCTGTGCGCTTTTATGGGCCCCTTCTGCCATCAAAGAAAAAAAATGGAAAATGATGCTTCATGGGGCCAGCAGGTGGTTAATGGCTAAGGTGCTGGACTCCCACGGGGCCGACCGCTGTTCGCATGTCAGACCCAACACCTTGAAAGTCATTCCAGGTGTGTGTGCGTGCGCGAAATCCCAAGAGGAGAAGGGATTGCAGCGTGGCCATCTCCCGTGGGGATGATTTCTCACTTTCCCTCTCTCTGTCTCTCTCTCCAATGAGCACACGTGCCCTAAAGCAAAACGTAAAAAAGGGAGAGGGGCTACTTCACAGCTCTGTTGTTCTAAACGTGGCTGTGATCCAGGCTGGGTTCATTGTTGCATAGCCATTATTAGTCTTTCTTTTATTTTCTGGACTTCGAAAGAAACTAAAAATAAAACCATTTGCCTGGCCCCTGGAAGCATGGTAGCCCTAGGCATGGGGCCTGCGGCATGCGGAAAAGACAGTTAGAAAAACGTGTGTTCTGCATGGCATTGCCTACCTGGCCTCACCCCAGTGCGGGAAGAGTCGAGGGCCAAGGTGAAGACGGAGACTCTGTCCCTTCGGTGCTCTCCCCCGCACACCGTCTTCCCTGGCAAACTCAGACATGCTCTGTGTGTTCCCAGTTCCCAGGGGCAGGACCCAGCCCGGAGCGCAGTGCCCTTCCTCGTCCGTCTCTCCGCCTGTGTCTGCTACTGCTGGGACCCGGCCCTCGCCCTGCCACCATCTGCGCGCCACCCTGGAGAGGACTCCTGCGATGCCCTGCCCTGGGACAGTGAAGGAAGAGGGGCTGCAGGGGAGGAGGAAAGTTCATGGATTCCGAATAGCAGCGTGCGGAGGAGGGCGAGTGTGCGCCCCCTGAGCACACGCACACACTCCTTCGTTGGCTCCTGGGAGAGGAACCATAAGGGCGTAAAAGAGGATAGTGCGTGTGACAGACGCCCCATGTGCTCTGCCCCACAGACACAGAGGAGAGACGGCAGAGGAGGCAACTCAGCCTTCAGACCAGCAGCCCCGCCCGTCCTGTGTGCGGGCACCGGCACCGGGGTGTACCAGTAAAACGCACCCCCTCTGTGGTCAAAAAGCAGGACCCGGCTGTCTGCCGAAGGGCCGTCCCCTCAGCACAGTGACAGCAAGGACTGCTCCAAGGGCAGGGAAAACCTCCTCAGAAGTAGTTTGGAGATCAGTTTACTTTTTCAAACATCATTTAATTGAGTCGTAAGCCCAGTGAATTAAAAAGTCATGGTGTCTGGGCAGCACCCAGAAAGGACGCGTCAGGGATCTGGCCAGGAGCCTGAGGCCGAGTCTGTGGCCCAGACAGAGAAGCCAGGTCTGGAGACAGCAGGCAGGTGCTGGACAGGGCAAGGGAGCAAGCCTGCGCGGCACCCAGGAAACCACAGCTACCGCACCCCCAGTTGCTTCTCTGTGCCTGCCACTCCATGGCTGTTTCTAGACCCATCTTACAGAAGCAGGCAGAGGCCTGGCAAAGGGAAGAGCCACGAGCTGCAGAGTTCATAAGAACAGTCAGAATGCAGACCAGATTAGTCCCACCCCAAGCCCACTAGAGCCGCTGCCAGACACGCAGGGCTCGGGAGGCGGTGAAGACAAGGTGGAGCGGGCGGGTCTCTGCTGTGCCACGGTGGCTGGTCTGGCCTGCCAGGCACCGCGCCTGTGTGTCCATAGGCCACGTCATGGAAAGGCCCAGTCCCCCAGGCTTCCTGTGGTTGGTGCTGGCCCTTGGCTGCAGCAGCCCCTGAGCAGCAGACAAGGATCTGGCAGTGCTCGCATCAAATAACGGAGGGGATGGGAGTCTCTCCAGCTCCTTGCAAGTGGGTTTGATCTGTGTTGACAGTGTCATTGTGCATGGGTTATGAGTGAGTTCCTATGAGGATTGTTGGGAAGCTGGAGAGTTTAGGACTCAGAGATGGCATTGAGAACCTCCGTCTCTGTCCTCGGGAAGTGGGAAGCGCCTGGGCCCGTGTGACGTGCTGGCCTCTGACATTCATGCAAAATACGGAAATAGCAGCTAGAACCCTGTGGGAGCAGAGGGGCAGGGCCACCTGGTTCTTAAGCAAACGCTGGACGGGGACAAGGAGCAGACTTGGCTGACATTAAGACTGGCTAGCAGAAAGTGAGAGGTGCCCCTTCCCAGCAGACACGGAGACTGGCGATGGCAGCAGCTCACCTCTGCTCACATCTCCGGGATGTGGCATCCCTGGGCATGGCACAGAGGTCCAGTCCTGACAAACACGCTCACAAGCTCGCCTTCTTTCCCTGGAAACAAAAGCAGAAAGCTCTTCGGCTGCTCCTTCCCCCTGGTACTCCTCTCAGACCACCCAAGGGACTCCTCCTCTAGGCCGGTCTCCACTCCCTCCCCGTGTCTTCTTGTAAGTCTCACAAGATACCCGAGGGATGCCCGCTGGTGGGGCACCCAGCACTCTGCTGTAATCACCTGCTCCCACCTCTGGCTTTTTCTCTCCACCTGCAGAGGCCTGGAAGGGAATGGGGCAGATTAGGCCCTTCCCCCACCATTCACATCATACACCCACCACCATCCCATGAGGGGAAAAAAAAAAGTAAAACAAAAACAACAAAAAAATCTTTTGTACAGAGATATATTTTTATTATACAAAGTTTGTACAGTACCAAAAAAAAGAAAGAAAAAAAAAAGGTGTAAATTTTTTTTCATTATTGTAGGTAAATGGTAGTGGAAGCCTTTTTTGTAAATGTAATAAAATGTATAAATACGGTTTTCAGAAAGCATCTTGTGCTGTAAATATGTAATCTACACCTTGGCTTGTCTGCAGTGTATACATCTAATTTATCTGTCTCTGTATATGAGGCTTCCCCCGGGGCCCTGCATTATGGTACTTTCCTGAATTTGAAAGCAATTTTAAATTTTTTGAATTCAAATAAAATATAAATTTTTGCATTGGTTTTCTTACATTTTTATGGCCTCTTTCATGGCTAGGGACAAGTATTAGTTGGAGAAACAGAGGAAAGACATATTTGGGGCTAAAAACCCAAGGGGGGGGAATGTTAGATTCTGTTTCTTAACTACAATTTATTGGCACTTCTACAAATTGGGAACATGCAGCAAAAATGACAGAAGATACACTGTATACAGAAATGAACTCAAAATGGATCAAATACCTAATCATAAGACCTAAAACTATTACAACACTTTTAAAAGAAAACATAGGGGGTAAACCATATGACAGATTTGCCAATGAGCTTAACATGACACCAAAAGTACAAGCAGCAAAAGGAGAACAGATAAACATAAAAACTTAGAAGTTCTGTGCACCAAAGCACACAACAGCGAAAAGGCAACCTATGAAACAGAAGGATATATTGACAAATCATGTATCTGATAAGGGGCTAACATCCAGAGTATATAAAGAATACAAAGTGGGGACCGGCAAGTGGCGTGGTGGTTAAGGCGCTGGGCATTCCCACATGACCGACCATGGTTCGAGTCCCGGACCTGGTGGCTTGCTTTCTCACTTTCCTCTCTCTCTCTCTCTCTCTCTCTCTCTCTCTCTCTCTCTCTGTGTGTGTGTGTGTCTGGTCAAATTAAAATAAACAAATGAATGAATAAATGAAATTGAATAAAATAATTTTTAAAAAAGAATACAAAGTATCTGTAATATACATAAAGAACATCTACAAAACACTTAAGTCATTTCAACAAAATACATAAATGACCAACAACACATGAAAACACACTCAACATCACAAATTATTAGGAAAAGGCAAATCAAAACCACAATGAAATACCACCTCACATCCATTAGGATGGCTACTGTCAAAAAAAGGGACAGGACTAGCAGTTGGCATAATGTTTTATGTTTATCTATTTTTTTCCTTAAGAATGGCTATGTCACTGGACTCCGTGTATTCAACCACGGTTCAAGTCCTGGACCCGGTGGCTTAAACTCATGCCAGGTTCATGTGCGTGCGTGCCCGAGATCCTGAGAGGAAAATGGAGAAGGGATTGCAACATGGCCATTCCCCCTGGGGGGTGATTTCTTGCTTTCTGTCTCTCTGTCTCTGTCTTTTGGCAAGAGCACGCACCCTATAGTAAAACCCTCTCAAAAAAAAAAAAGAAAAGAAAAAGAAAAAGAAAAGTGGGGGTGCAGAGGGAGAAGAGGAACAAAGAATAACAAGTGTTGAAGGGTGGGAAGAAATTGAAACTTTTGTGCTGTTGGTGGGAATATAAAATGGTGTAGCCACTATGGAAAACAGAATAGTGGCGCCTTAAAAATTTTAAATAGATTTACCACATTATCCAAGAATTCACTTCTGTGTATATACCCTAAAGAATTTAAAATAGGCTCATGAAGAGATATTTTTAGCAGCATTATTCACAATAGCCAAAAGGTAGAAGCAACCTCAGGGTCAGCAGATGATGTAGTGGTTAAGGCACTGGGCTCTCACAGGTCACCTGGCCAACTCTGGTTTGATTCCTGGACCTGGCAGCTTGAAAATCATGCTAGGTTCATGTGAATGTGTGCCCAAAATCCCAGGGAGGGAACGGGGAGAAGGGACTGTGGCTTAGCCATCCCTCCGGAGGGAGTGGGGTGATTTCTCACTTTCCCTCTCACTGTCTTGCTCTGTCTCTCTCCAGGGAATGCATATGCCCTATGGCTAAAACCTTAAAAAAATTAAAAACGATTTTTAAATGTGGAAACAACCTAAATGTCCATGAATGGACAAACGGGTAAAGTACGGTACATATGTACCATGGAACATTATCCTGGCATTGATCATCAGTAACAACTAATAGAACCAAAAGAAGGCAACTCGATATTACGCGCCTTCTGCGAGAAGTACACACCACCATCTCCAAATTAGTCTTGAAACCAAGTAAAATTTGGATATGATGAGTCATCTAGTTGTAAATGCTAGCTTACGGGAAATACAGTGATACAGAACAAGTTTCTGTGTATCATAGGGGTCTAACTGATAGCACACGGATTCCTCAGCAGGACTGAATCTTGAATCCTGTCGCCATGTATGACCTCATCTGAATCCAGAGTCAAACAAATTTGGAGACAATCTGTGAAATATGGGCACTAACTAAACATTTGATAATATTAATAATTTTGAACTTCTAGGTGTGGTAAAGACACTATAGATGCATTTGTTAAGGTGGCATTATCTTTTGGCGACACATACTGAAATGTTCAAGGATCGATCATATGATTATAGATGCATTTGTTAAGGTGGCATTATCTTTCGGCGACACATACTGAAATGTTCGAGGATCATACGATGTGATGTCTGGGATTTGCTTCCTGGTAGTTTTTGGAAGGGGTATGATAATATCCATAAAACAAAAATAGCCATGAGCTGATAGCTACACATTCAAAAGTCTCTACTTTTGTGTACGTTTGAAAATTTTTTACAATAGAAAGTTTTCCTTTTTTTTTTAAGAGAGATTTGTATAGGGCATGTGCACTCACCAAAGAGACAGAGAGACAGAAAGTGAGAAATCGCCCCTCAGGGAGGACGGCCATGCCACAATCCTTTCTCCTTCATTCTCCTCTCGGGATCTTGGGCACACATGCACACACTCCCAGCATGACTTTTAATCCGCCAAATTTGGGACTCAAACTGTGGTCAACTATGTGGCAGTCCAGTGACATAACCGTTATGCCATCTGCTGATCCCTATAATAAAAAGTTGAGAAACTAATAATAAAGGCAGAGCTGACTCCATAGTGCAGTAGTTAAGGAGGCTGGATCTCACATGGCTGGCCATGGTTTGAATACCAGCTGTGGTAGCTTGAAAAACATGCCAAGGGCATGTGCGTGCATCACCATGATCCCAATAGGGTAGAGAAATGGGGGAGAAGGGTGGTATGACTACATCCCACCAAGAATTCTCATTCTCTCTCTCTCTCTCTCTCCCTCCCTCTCTCTCTCCCTCTCTCTTTCTCTCATGCCCTCTGGCAAAAGGAAAGAAGGAGGGGAGGAAAAAAGGAAAGAGGGGAGGAAGGAAGAAAAAAAGGAGAGAAGAAAGGAAGAGAGACAGAAACAAATGCAGGAAAATAGTCGTTTAAATGTATATTTGCTCATCTTGTCAAACTGCAAGAAGGATTAACTACCAATATCTATAGACAATAGCTGGGAATAGAGTGAGAGGTTGGGAATGGAAACAAAACCTTGAGTACATCTCACAGTGTTTAACTTTCATATCAAGTCTACTGATAAATGTAAACATGTTAAAATTAAAAGCTTCTATTATTATTATTACTTTTATTACACATAACTACATGTTTATGAGGCACAGTCTGATTTTTTTGAGTATATGAATACGATGTATAATTGAAGTGCGGGCAGTTAGCACACCGATCCTCTCAAGTACTTAGCATTACTTCGTGTCAAGAGTCTCCGAAATTCTCTCTTCTGGCTATTTTCGTGTTTACAGTCAATTCCTGTGAGCTCTGGTTGCCCCACTTTGCTCTCGAACACCAGGGCTTCTTCCTCTTACCTGTTAGAGTTTGTATCCGCTAACCATCTCTCTGTCCTCTGGCTCCCCTCTCCCCTCCCACCCCACAGCTACCACCATTCTCTCTACTTCTCCTAGGACGACTTTTAAGTTTCCAAATATGAGTGAAAATACAACTCTTCTCTTTCGGTGCCTTAACATAATGAAATAACCTCCATTAACCTCATGACAGGTTTTCACCCTCATTAATGCTAAACTGTATGCCATTGTCTTTATATAGCACTTTTTGTTTTGGGGGGTTGTTTTTTTGTTTTGTTTCGTTTTTGTTTGTTGGTTTTTTGGGGTTTTTTTTAGGTTTTTGCCATAGGGCACATGTGCTCTCCAGAGAGAGACAGAGAGAGAGAGGGAAAGTAAGAAACCACTTCCCGGGGGTTGGGGGCTGCTCACACTACAATCCCTTCTCCTCTGTTCTCTCAGGACTGTGGGTGCACACGCATGCACCTAGCATGATTTTCAACACCCCCAGGTCTGGGACTTGAAGCGCAGTGGGCCTCGTGGGAATCCAGCACCTTAATCACCATGCCACGTGCTGGCCTGACACTTTTTTTTAATCCATTCACCTACCGGTGACCACGTCAGTTAATTTTACGTCTCAGTGATTGACACAAGGCTGCGATAGCCACGGGAGTGCGGCTGTCTCTAAATGTGGTTCCCCTTGTACGAACGCCCAGGCGATAGCCACGGGAGTGCGGCTGTCTCTAACTTTGGTTCCCCTTGTACAAATGCCCGGTAGTGGGATAGCTGGAGCACACGGCAGTTCTGTTCTTAATTTTCCAAGAACTCTCAGAGCGTTCTCCACAATGGCAACACCAGTCTACTTTTCCACCAAAAGTGCTGAGTTCCCTTTCCTCCTCGTCCTACACTGACTACAAAGAGCAACAAATGGCCTAAAAACATATCAACCTAACAACATAACCACACAGAAAAAGTAATCGTTTTAAGTCAGTTTTGAGCACAGAACTGACATAATGGTACATATTCCCAGCACAAGATAGACTGCAAAGGCCCCTTAAATATTACTTAGGCCATTGGTAAAAGTAATGTTGACATTATAACTTGGAGCGGTTCTATGTATTTGCAAAGCAAATACTAGATAATGTTCAT